CACTCCCCCCACAAAAAAAAAAAAAAGTCTCTTGGACTTTCCTGTCCAGGCTGGCTTCAAACTGTGATCCTCCGATCTCAGGCTGCTGAGCAGTTAGGGTTACAGGCATGAGTCACTGCACCTGGCTTTGACTCTTTTGAGATGGGATCTCACACCATAGCTCAGGCTGATGAAAAAAGATGACTCACAGTAGCCAAAAGGAACAGACAATGCCCACCTCCGTCCACAAAGCGGTGGAACTCTGTGGCAGGAGCTTCCCAGGGGATAGTGGGGTTCCACAAACCACCCAGAAGCCCAGGCTCCAGGCCTCCCCTGCCCAGGCTCACTGGGCTCCTGCTCTGCGTCCATCTTGGCCTTCAGCAGCATGCGTAGCCGGGACACCTCCTGTCGCTTTAGTTCGTCCAGCTTGGTGCGGACATGGTGGCTGACAAAGTCCAGCTCTCGGCTCAGCTTACCACTCTGCCAGGAGGATAAGGGAACAGTGATCAGGCTGGGAGAGAGGGAGGGGGAGGGGGGCGCCTGGACGGAGAGGATATTAGGTAGTCTCTGCCCTTCCTAGTCTTCTGTCATTTTCTCTCAGGCCTGTCCATCTGCCTCCATGATTAACTGGATAACCTGGGTTCCCCGCCCGCCCTCCCACCTCCCTGATTCTCACTTTAGAGGTTCACAGCCTGGCAGTGCTGGCACCCTGACTCTGCATTGCAGCCTTACCTTGATGTCCTCAGCATTGGCTGCCTGCAGCTTCTCCCGGAAGTGCCCATCTGTCTCCAGCACGTTGATGACCTCTTGGAGGTAGCGGTGGTAGTACAGGCCCGTGTCCTGAGGGTCAAGGGTCAATACAGCAGCTCTGCCTCACCCTCCTGTGGCCAGATCCTGGCACCACCCAGAGCCTCATGTTCCACAGGCCTGCTTCAACAGGACAAAGAGACCAAGCCAGCAGACCCAGGTTCCAACCCCACCTGGTGTGTAAGCCTAGGAGAGTCACGTGGGCCTCTGCCACAGTTCCCACTTTTTTTTTTTGTCTGTGAAAATTATACAGAGGCACTAGGCATGGTGGGCAGGCCTGTAATCCCAGCACTCTGGAAGTTGAGGCAGGAGGATTTCAAGTTGTAGAATACAGCCTGGCTACACGAGTTCAATGCCAGCTACACAATGAGACTGAGATAATAAATAAATAAGAGCAGGGTGCCGGTGGCTCACGCCAGTAATCCTAGCTACTCAGGAGGCTGAGATCTGAGGATCAGGGTTCAAAGCCAGCCTGGGCAGGAAGTGGTGCTGTGGCTTAAGTGGTAGAGCACTCACCTTGAGCTGAAGAGCTGAGGGACAGCGCCCAAGCCCAGAGTTCAAGCCCCACGACCAATCAAAATAAATAAATAAATAAAACAAAACAACACAAATTAAGAGCTGCTGCAAGTTGTGGTTCAAGCAGTAGAATGCTTACCTTGAGAGTTAAGACAGTGAGTTCAAACTTTGTACAATAATAATAACAACAGCCGGGCGCTGGTAGCTCACGCCTGTAATCCTAGCTACTCAGGAGGCTGAGATCTGAGGATTGCGGTTCAAAGCCAGCCCGGGCAGGAGAGACCTTGAGACTCCTATCTCCAATAAACCACCAGAAAACCAGAAGTGGC